TTATAATATGTTCTATCACAATTGTCAAGTAGTGGGAGTGTAGACTGTACAGTGTATATACACATTATTAATTATTATTTTTATAGATATTAAAGATCTTGTTACTGTCATTGAAGAGCTAACAATACTCAATCAATTGGATTGTACTAAATGGTATCAGTTTGGACTTCATTTAAGATTATATGACCCTAGACTAAAGGCTATAGACACTGACTGTAGAGGAAAGACAGTGGAATGTTTCCGTGAGTGTATGTCTGCCTGGTTAAGAGGAGAAGATGGAGTGAGAGAGAAAGGAGGTCCCAGTTGGTCATCATTAGCTACAGCACTGGATACAATAGAAGAGAAATCTATTGCTAGTTACATTAGAAATAAATATTGTAAATTAGATGATTGTCTGTAGTATTTCATATGTGTTAATCAGCTGAGTTGTAAAAGCTGAGCTGTCATCATGTACTAATTTCCCTATCTCTATAATTCATTGAAAATCCAATTTTAATTGAACTTTCTGTACAACATACATGTAAGTACATGTACATGTGCATCAGTTAATGTACAGATTCCAAGCATTCATAACGGAGTGGTGTGTGTATGTATGTGGTGGTGGCTCATTATAAGCAGTAGCTGTAACTGCTAGAATGCCCTGCATTTAAATCGCCATTATATTAAATTAAAAATAATTTAATATATTTTTAAATTAAAATATTAATGAACATCGAAAGAGTGAAAGAAGAGTCATTGTTTGTGTCTTTATAAATCTCTTGCTTCTTGAGTATCGCATCACTTGACATTTCAACCTGAACTTATCAAAAATAATGTTAAGATTTGCTATGAGTAGTTACTGTTAATAAGAGTCTTGTTATATTCTTCTTGTAAGTAGTGCTCTTAGCATCACTAGCAATAGTAACCACTAGTGATCCCAGGCAGTGTCATGTGGAGGCGGCACTACATTGCTGCCCAACCTGTATAATGATAATTAATAATATATATTGAAACTAACTGAATGGGACTTCAACCTTTAACAGGAACTTGGTCTTAACAAAGAAAGGTTAATACATGACACTATTGATACTATACTGTAAGATCTTGAGTCTTTCAAACAGGGACTTGGTGTTCCATTTAGAAATATTTACCTTAACACTATACTTTCAGATCTTTCATCTTCAAACAGGAACTTGCCTTGGTGTTCCATTTTTACAATGTTAATCTTATCAAAGAGAAAAGTTATATGACACTATTGATACTATATACTGCATGTAAGATCTTTAGTCTTTCAAACAGTTCCATTTTTAAATGAACAAAAACGTTATACATATAGTGTGTATTGGAACAATACTTAAATTTTGATCCATTGTCTTTCAAAACATTGTAGTCCTTCAATACCTATTGGGAATGCAAACACATCATTATTATGATTATGATAATCTTGACACAAACTTGATATCCTTTACATTGCATGTCATTGTTCCACTAGTGACAGTATCTAGTAAGAAATATAAAGAGCTATATCATACAATATTGATACATTCAATTTTTGATTTAGTCTTTAAAACAGTAGCTGTAATACCTTTAAAATTGTAAATTAATGCATTGTAGATGAAAATATTTAGAAAATACTTGATCCCACACAGACAATATGGACAGGAGCTTGTTGACCAGTTGATGATACTAAAACTACTATAGTGCTTCCTACACCATTAACCTTCAATATCTCACTATAACCTGTACCAGTACATTACTACCTACCTAGGACTCAATAACTATTGTTGAAAAATGAACACTTTGCTAATTAGTATCATTGTAGGCTGAGGCTGCAAGTACTTGCAACCCATTCATCATATCTACACTTCAGCTTATAAAGACTACTTACAACCTATGATCCTTTATACACTTGTAGAACCATTATGATAAACACCATATTCTTGATTATTTAAATTTTCAATATTTGAATTTAAAATACTTGTAGGCTATTGAGAAGGATAAAGGTAAAGGTAAAAAAGGAGGAAAGAAGGGAAAGAAAGGGAAAAAAAGGAAAGAAAGGAAAAGGGAAAAAGAAAAAAGGAGAGAAAGACCTTACGCCCGACAGGTAAACAAATTCATTTATCACTAGTTGTTATTATTGTTACTTGTTGTTATTTGTTGTTGTTTTGATTTGTTGTTGTTGTTTACAGAACTATTGAAAGTCTTTATGAAGAATTGGCTGGAGAAGGTGTTGTAATGAAATGTCCAAAATATCATCTATCAGATTATATTGGGGACTTTAGGTACAGCAGTATTAAAATAGCATTAGTAGCATTGCTCATGTACATGTACATCCCATAGCATTATACAGTGTATGATCCACATCCTTTCTCCTTTGCTCCTTCAGTTATTTAGCTACC